CTTAACCAACCAATGTATCTGAAAATTATTAAATTTAAGGCGATAAACAAACCTTTTTATTTGTACAAACAAAACTTTTATGAACTAACCAAATAAAAAGCGAAAAAAAAAGACACCGTAAGCGTGAATCATCCCAAAACAAAGACCAGACCCTACTTCAAATAGATTCAATTTCAGGCAAACCCTTAATCGATTTATTGAAACAAAAGCCAGAACAAAAAACGGAGCCTATTTTTAAACACCATGCTACTTTCAAAAACCTCTTTTTCGGGCCACCTCATGAACATTCCTTCCTTTACTCGTCCCCTCCACTCCCCATACCTTTATAAAAAGGTGTAGAAAAAAACAAAGAGGAAAAAGAAACGTTTGACAGAAGACAACATAAAGTTTAGTCAATGTAAACTTAAAAGTGGATGGAAAAGCTTAACCAGAAAGAGCAAATATTGAAAAAAATTCACAGATACTTTTGTTTCCCTCCATTATGTTGCAATTTTGAACTCATTAACAGTGCTTGAAATGCCAGAAATCAAAATAGATGCAAATACCAAAAATGACCAAAACATATTTGAAGAAGTTCTCAAAAACGTTCATGTCATAAGTTCATAGTGCATAAAAAGCGTTACTTTGTTTCACCATCAAAAATCAGTTAGAAAAAAATGCAAACAGCAATTACAGGAGAAAAAAAAAAAAACAATAAAACCGCAAAAAAAAAGTGTATAAAAGTAGTAAAAATAGCACGAAACTCCAAATAAATAACCTCTGGGAACTTTAATATAACCAAAGCATATAGAAAAAACAAGAATCGCTTTGTCAGTATAATAATGTTAGTAAGACCAAATATCCTGAACTAAAGTAAATTACTTTCACTAAAATGTCATTAACGGTAATATTACTGAAACCATGATAAGCCAATATTCCAAACTTTCAACGTAAATTTCGAACAGTAAAATTGCACACTTTCTAAATCTATCTTTCCTTTCGCCTGCTGCTTTTCCCTTTCTTTCTTGCCCGTGTCCATTTAAATAGAACTGTGATATACGACATATAAAAAAATTCTACATTGTTAAATGACGTAAAACAGAAAATTACAAATCCAATGCATCTAAATAACAATTCAGTTAGAAATAAACAACTGAAAAAGAAAAAACTGACGATTTCTACAAAGCTAACACAAAATTAACTGAGAAAGCCATTTAGCAAAACCTGAGGTACGGCAATATAAAATGACAAGGCATTTTTTTCTTCTGCTTCTTAACAAAACTTTTAAAATATTATAAAGGTCTTAAAATCAACATTAAAAAAATACAAAGAATAAAGCCGTTTTAACCAAAAACTAACTAAACATAATCCAAAAACTCTAAAAAAATAACATTTTTTACCTATGTTTGGCTCGCCATCACAAATGCATACAAATGAAATAAAGACAAAAACATGAAACAGCACAAACAACAATTAATTTCAGGATATTAAAAATTTTATAGCTGAGAAGAATAAAAAAAAAAAAAAAGATTTATCGATATACGTCAATGCCCCTTAAACTACTATTACCGTTTCAGGATAACTAACAGCATTAACTCCTCCCTCCCTCCTTTCAATCTCTTCTCGCCTCCACTCTTTGTTCACTTGAACAGTATTTTCAAAATCACATCAACTTCTAGTCAAAATCAGCAGCAAGTTACTTCCTTCAAACTTTTTTCTTCTTCTTTTTCTTAACAATTTTAAAGAAAAAATTTAGAAATACTGTGGAAAAATCCCATGGAAGAGAACGTCAACAAGAGAAAGCTGAGTAGAACAATTTTAAAAAAGCTGAAGTGTTCTATATCAGAAAAAAAACATAAATATCTAAGAAAAAACACAATTAAACTTCGCCTGCTGTTCCAAACAAACAAACAAACAAACAAACAAACAAACAAACACATACACAAATACACACGCAAACAACATAAATCTATACGCAGTCGAAAGGAAAGCCACACACACAACCTCGCAAACAAAGACCCAGTCACCACAACCATACAAACACAGATACACTAACATACATACATACGTACATACATACATACATGCATACATACATACACATACACACAGACACAGACAGACAGACAGACAGACAGACAAACACACACACACACACACACACACACACACACACACACACTAAGCATCCTTCTGGTTATCTGCATGTATTCACAGATTCCAGCTTCTAGATCATGTTGCCAACTGGCCAACCAAACACCTTGGTTGCTTACTGCAGTTACGCTTACATACGTGGACAAGCTCCTGTTAAACATAAAATACAGCACAAACATCACCTTAAATAACTTGGAACAATAAATTAACCCCCTCTAAATTGGCACTTCACAACAGCCATAAAATCTGGCCATACTTCTGCTAAGTAACCAAAAGAAAAAACACC